TACAGGGGTAGCATCACAGTTTGAGGTCCCTCCCAGATGGTTTCCAGACAGGAAGAGAGAGAGGAAATTTATATGTCATTTAATTTTGAGGTTAAAACAGTAGTTGACCTGTCTCTTTTGGCTACAAGTAGGCATTATAGTGTTGAATTCAGACAATGTCTAAAGTTTTATATTTATGTAACATTTTCCTTATTGATAAGAAAATCATTAGTGACAAATAATTGTCTAAATAATATTCCATATGGATTTAAGGCTAATGTCTGGGAGTTAAATCCCTTGTTAAAGGAAACATACCAGTCATTTTAGCCTTTGGTTATGCTTTCTCCTTGGGTGTTTAGAACCATGTAAGTGGCCAAGATTAACCAGTTTCTTTTTTATTGTCAAGGCTAAATGAGGAACTGGTCCTCAGGGGTCACTTGGTCTTGGGAAGAGCCTCTGGCTCCTTTAGTCTTTCTTTGACCAGTTGTTCTAGCTATGCGAGGATAAGTCAAACTTATTAACTCTGAATTCATTTGAAAGCATTAAGGAAAAATTTCCCTTCTGTGTTGTCCCTCCTCTCAGTACTATACAGAGTCTATCCAGTGGGGTCTCTATGGCCTCCCTCAATGATAGAACAACTCACTCACCATAGCTACAGGATATTTTGAGAGACATCCCATAGTCCCTGGGACCTTGTTGATCTTGGAAGGCAATGGGCAAAATACTGACCTTTTAAGTCCCTCCAACCACATTAGTATAGACCTCTGAGTATGGTTATTGAACATCCAGAGAGTCAATTATACCAGTCTGATACTTTTAATTGTTGTGTAATATTAGGAGAAAACTTGAGCAAAAATCAAATGCTTTCAAATAAACCTTGATTAGGTATATATTTTATTCATTAAGCAAATTCTTGTAATTTTTAACAAGAGTAGATCAATAACTCCATTGATTTAAGTAGAAGTTTGAGTGAACTTTGACCTTAGAAATTTTAATATTTTATATATTATCTTCAAGTCTCATCTTTTTTATACCTTAAATCTTAATAATTTTCATAAGCTTTCCAGCTTTTTCCCAGTCTGGAAACATCTTAATCTTCTTACAAAAATCCTTCTTTACTAAAAAAACTTTCATTTTTACATCCTTCTAGCATTTTCTTTTCCTTACTGATTTTTCTGTCTTAATACAATGATATATCATAATAATAACAAATAACTTTACTGTCTATTATAAGAATTTTCTTTCTAGGGAGATTAAGCAATGTCTACCCCTCCTTATAAGGTCCTAATGACAAAACCGTTTTATCAAAGTTCACCTTGATGAGTCAAGGAGTTTATTGTACTTACTTATTAAGTGCGGGTGAGGGATAGCCCTGAAAAGTAGACCTCCATCTCCCTAGTCTTTCCCAGTCTGTATGCTCTGAATCCTCCCCTGGACCCTGAGGCAACATGTGATTAAGGCAGAAATGTACAGAACTGGTTAAGAGAAGTATCTGGTTGCTCAGCTGAGGGTCCCATGACCCTGCCTGGCCCACCCTCTTATGGAAGAACATCAACAGTCAGTAAGTCAAACTGTGATGATCTTTTGCAATCAGACACAGCTGAAGTCATGAAGGCAATGGTTATTTGACTCATTTTGTTTAGACGATAATGCTGTGGAAAATCACCTTATTAAAAAAAGTTGAATCCAAACTACATATATAGGATAATGTAATAAATTAATATTACCTGTGTACATATTATTAAACTACAAGGCTTTTTAAATTCCCAGATAAACCTTGTAGAGAAAACAAGATAGTCAAAAATCATTTTATGCTTTACACAACACACAGTATGATCTACCATAATTGTGCTTTTGGCTTTAACGAAGTATAAGGACCAAACAGACAGGAGCAGCAGATACATAGCAAACATCATCAAGTTGATGTTTGTAACATCCAGCAGAAATCAGCTAAGGAGACCCTGTTAAAGCTGTGATGCTGGAGCTACCATTAAGAGTTTGGGCAGAGAGTCCCCCTCTATCTGCTCCATGATCTGTCAACAGCACCTGTAATCTAGGGAATACAGATCACAGAAAACAATTACATTTGGAAAGCAGTGATATCAGAATTCTTACTCTCCTTAGCCTGTTCATGTCACCATAACTGGAAAATGAAAGCAAAGCAGGTTTCTGTGGTGGTTTGAATGAAAATGCCCTCCATAGGATCCAAGTATTTGGATATTTTGTCCCCAGATGATGGTGCTGTTTTGGGGGGTCTTAGAAGGTGTTGCTATCCTGGAGGAAACACGTCACTGGGGGTGGGCTTAGAGAGCTCTTAAGCCTTTCTGGATCTCCAGTTTCTCTCTTGCTTCCTGTGCCTGTGGGATGATGTGAGAGCTTAACTTCTGCTGCTCCTGCTCCAGCCACCTCCCGCCACCATGCCTCTCCTCCATGACAGACTATAATTCCCCCGGAAATGTAAGCTCAAATAAACTCTTCCTTTTATAAGTTGTTTTGGTCAGTGTTTCTATCTCAGTAGCAGAAAAGTGACTAATACAGTTTCCCGGGGCATGAAGGGGCAGAAACAAAAGCAGACAACAGGTATGGAGCAAAGGAGTCTTAAGGACAGAAATAATGTTTTATCTCAGATGGAGGAAAAACAGGATTGGAGATGCCAGGCAGAAAGCAGGCATTGCCCTGGCAGCAGTCTATACTTCAGTTCAGGGTTGAGATCTATGTTTGTCTAAGATTTGGTATTGGGCTGATGCAGATTTGCATGAGCTTCTCAGGTCTGGCTATCTCAAAGTGTGAGTTGGCCACTGTTGGAGTCAAATGGTTGGGGGAAACTCTTAATCCACTTTAGAAGCCAGCAAATATGTCATGCAAAACAATATGTCAAAAGCAAAAGAAAACCCACTATGGAGGTTTAGTATTACCCTCTTAGTCTGACATAAAAATGCATTGACCTTATCTAGTGGCAACAGAATGCATTTTGGAGTCTCCTTTGTGTCTCCCACTTCCATGATCTCATTAGGCATCCAGAAATGTGGAAACCAAAAAGATAAAGAATTGGGGGAATTGGGACATGTGACTAAATGCCTTTGATGCAGGAACTTCCTGGGGTGCAGTGATCTCCTTAGGGCTCAGTAATAGGGGAAATTTCGTGGATGCCACCATTTTAATTTATGCCTCATGGTTGTATTAACCAAGATGAAGGCAAGGTCACACGTTCACCTCCTTATTTTTTATGTCACTAACCAAGATGGTGACCAAGTTGAGTTACCGTGAATGTCCCCATATTGATGATATCATTAGCCAAGATGGTAGCCTAGTCTCTTCATTCGGGTATGGAGCAGGCACACAGAGCAGAAAATTTTATAGGTGTTTATCCTAACACAAGAGTATTGTGTCTTTTCCCCATTTAGTGGCTTTTGACTTCATACATTTCAAGGTTGGCTAGTTTTAAAAGAATCTGCACAAAAGAAGTGAAGGAAGAGCAAGGGGTCAACCTCAGAGCCTTGTTTCAGGAATGCAGCAGGCCCTTGTATGAGCAAAAACCTTTACAAGGTTGGGGAAACTACAAAGGTTACATTCCTGTGATCATTCCTTTGATAAAAAGGATTTTAATTCCTTGTAATTATTTTCCTCACTATGATCACATTTCCTTTGTTCAGAAAGTTTTGGAGTTATTAATAGACTTGTCTTTTGCTGGCTTAGTATTCTAATTATTTATTTTTATCACCAATCTATTTCAAATTCTACGTGAAAACATTTAGCTCTCTTTTAAATATGTTTAAGTCCATTACTTATTCTAGGAGTTTCATTTTCTTAGAGATTTCTCTTAAAACTCCACATTCCCCCAGTCTTCTGCCTAGGATTTCTTCTGCTATGGTCCTTATAGTTCCCTTTCTCTCTGTTTATACAGAATCTCTTGCATCCCAAATTCTCCTTTCTTAATTTTTCATTTATTCCTTCATTTGGGTAGAGAATATCTGCAACACTTTTCTTAGATGGAGCTAATTTTTCTGAAATTTGCATATTTGAACATGACTTTATTTCACCCTCACACTTTATTGTAGAGAACACAATTACCTAGAGGAGAGTGTTTTTCAAAATTTTGAAGCGTGTGCTACTGCTTCCCAGACTCTTGTGAAGTCACTCTGTCTCACACTCCATTTTATGGAATAGTAGCTTGTTTTTCTATCTGGAAGTTTCTAGTATCTCTTCTTCCTCCCATTGTTCTGAAATACACAATGATGTTCTGCAGCACAGGGTAATTCTCATGCATTTTGTGGGGTGTTTGTATTAGTTACTTTTCTGCTGTGGTGATAGAACATCATGACCATGTCAACTTACAAAAGGAAGAATTTATTTGGCATACTGTTCTAGAGGGATATGAGCCCACCATGGCGAGGAGGCATGGCAACAGAGGATGGTGGCCAAAGAGAAAGCCATGGACTTACATCCTCAAGCACATGCAAGAAGCTGAGACAAACAGACTGGAAGAAATGGGGTGAGGGCTGATACTTTCAAAGCCCACCCCAAGTGACGTGCTTCCTCCAGTATGGCCACATCTCCTAAAGGTTCCATGACTCCCCAACTCTGCTCCAAATAGTGCCACCAACTAACCAAGTGTTTGTTGGAGCCTAGGAGGACAGTCTCAGTCAGGCCATCACAGTATTCAAGGGTGCTGTTTCAATCCAGAGACACCTGTCCTTGGTCTGTGGGACATGTTCTTGGTTGATTTCCTTGATTGCTTGTTCCCTACAGCTTTTTCTTTCGCATTTGAGTGTCTTTTCCGGATGATGAGTATGCTTGACTTGATCTACTTTTCCCATATTTTCATTCGTATTTTCATCTCTTTCTTTATTCATTCTCTTTTTGGGTGTAATAGAATGTACAATTTCATAGTCTAGACTTTTTGCTGTATTGCTAATCCTTTGAGACAGGGTCTCCCTGTAGCACCAACTGTCCTGGAACTTGCTATGTAGACCAGGCTGGCCTTGAACTCACAGAGATCTGCTTGCCTCTGCTTCCTTTGATTTCTAAGAATTCATTTTTCATGATTGCTTGAAGCAATGTAAAAAACACATTTCACTGGCTCTGAAAAAAATGAATTAATTTTTCTTGGAATCTTCATTTTCTACAGCATCCTGTCCTTGTTTTAAAGATACTATTCTATCTTACTGCTCTTGGAATATAAAGCTTTTTTATAGTTTTTGTGTCTCTGTCCAACAGCTTATTGTGTTTCTTATTCTGTTTATTGTTTTTCCTTTTAAAAGTTTTTCTTCAGATTTTGGAGATCCCTGGTTTTCTACTCAAACATTAAAGTGAGAATTAATAGTTATAAATGATACTTCAGTGCAGTGCTAAACAAATTAAAGGATGGGGGGCTGGAGAGATGGTTAAGTAGTTAGGATCACTGACTGCTCTTGCGGAGGATTAGGTTCGAGTCCCAGCACCCACATGATGACTAATAATAACTATCTGAAACTCCCGTTCCAGGAGATCTGACACCTTCTTCTGGCCTCTGCAGGCATTGCATGACACAGGTACACTTCCATACGTGTAGGCAGAAAACTTATGCATATAAAATAAAAATTAAAAAAATCAAAGGAGGAAAATGTGGGGCACTGTGGAGTGTAGATACATTCTGTACATGGGTGAGGCTTGTCAACTGTATTGGCTGCTAGATGGTTTCATGAGGGGTCATCTAATATCAGAATCAATATCTTTTTTTCCTGTGCTGGTCAGATTTATCAAGGAGAATCCTCTTATCTCCCATTCAGAAGGCAAAAACCTCCCTCATTGCTATTGTTTTGAGAGCTGAGTGGGGAAGGAGCTGAGTGTTTCACATTCATCATTTCCACAGTCACTCCAGCTTATTTTCAGGATGGTACATGGTGTGCCTGAGTCCCCACAGATGTGGGCAGCCTCTTTCATCATTTTACCAGGACTGACTTCTAGTCTTCAGCCAGAGTGGAAAAGAGCTTGGCTTATTGCAGCTAATTGGAGAGAGCAGGATTTGGGGAAGAGGGGGTTTGACCCATTTTAACAAACGTCAGCAGTTTTCCTATTGCAGCACAGCTTGGACCCCAACTCTTGGGACTCCCACGACTTCTGAGGCACAGATCCAGGTACTTTGCCCTCAGCCTTGGCCCCCGTTCTCTCTCTTTTATTGCTGTCACCTTTTCTTATGTCCTTTGTGTCTTAATTTTCTTTCCCACCTTACATCTATTGTGATTATTTGGGTCTTGAGTGGAAAAAAGGAAGGGTAAAAGTGGGGGTTCAGTTTGCCACCCTTAATCTGAAGCCTTGATAAGTTATTTGTTCTTTCTGTTTTCACTGCCTTTTCCTATAAAGAAGGAATGAAACAGAGCCTCCTGGTTGGCTTGCCAGAGTAGTTAGTAGAGTTTTAGGATCAAAACCTAGATCCTTGCAGCCCCAACAAGCTAAGTTCAGTCACTTGTCCTCAAGACACCAATTAAAGAGAAAAGCAATAGTGAAGTGTAGAGAAAAGAAATCTTGTCAGTGTTCTACATTGGGAAGACAAATAAGGAGGACCCAAGTCCATTTGGGCGGTATTGACATGAGGGTTAGGTTTAAACAGAGGCCAAGAACTATACATAACTAACCTTTTACTGGCCAAGGTGTGACCCTGTCCATCCTTGACTTAATCATTGTTTTGGTTCTAGTCTTTCCTGCAGGATGGTCTGATAAACTGTCAGAAGTGTGTGAAATTCCTTCCTGGATGACAAGCTCCTCCTATGACTGGCAACAGTCTTTGGCCTTTCCCATCCCTCAGCATGAGACTACTGGGACAATTCCAATTCTTTGAGAAGTATTGTTTCAACAGTCTGGTAGTCAAAGGGAGGGGCACAAGTCTCTCTCCAGAATGGTTGCAATACCATTTTTATAAGATGTAATATTATCTATATTACACTTAACATTGTAAATGTGCATCCCTCATTCAAAAATCTTAAATCAGAGATGCTCCAAAATATGAAAATTTTGTGTATTCACATGATGTTCAAAAGTTTTATTTTTTTGGAGCATTTCTGGTTTTGATTTTGGAGAACAGTAATGCCCAGGTACTTAAGTATATGAAAACATTCCGAAACTGAAAATATTGAAATTGAAAATACTTTTGGTCTCAAGCATTTTTAGGATTTGTTTTTATTATTTTTTAATTATGTGTATGTGTAGGTGTCCATGTGTGTGCATGTACACATGTATGTGTGTGCTTGTGGAGTCCACGAGAGGGTGACAGATCCCTAGGAGCTGAAGATATAGGCAGTTGTTAGCTCCCTGACCATGGATGCTGTGAGCCAATCTTGAGTCCTCTGCAAGAGCAATACTTAATCTTAACCATTAAGCTCTCTGTGCAGCCTCTGATCTCAAGCATTTTAGGTAAGGGACACTTAGTATTCATATATAATATTTTTTGTATTTTGCATTCATTTCATCCTCTTGATTTTTTTTCTTTCTTTTTCTCTCTTTTTTTTGGTGTTTATTAAATGACTAAGGATTGAACTGAGAGCCTTGCCCAACACCTCACTTCCCTTGTATTTAACCCTTTTTAAAAATTGTGAGATGGTCTCACTCAATTGACCATGCTAGCCTTGATCTTATACTATTGCCCAGATACGCCTTGAACTGATGATCCTCCTGCCTCACCTTTAAACAGCTGGAATTATTGGCTCATTCTTTTGATTTTGAATCCTTTTGATTCTCATATAATTCAGCAACTGTAGGTCTTGATAAGTGGTTCTGGGAGCTTTTATGATGGCTAATTTTGATGTTCAATGGGTTGAATTGATAAATGGCTAGGGCATTAATGAGTTGTGAGGGCATTTCCAAAGAGGACTGAGGGGAGGAATGGGCTGGGGTCCTGCACTGAATTAAGAAGTCAAAAAGAGAAAGCCTGCAGAACGCTGGCATTGTCCTTCCTCTGCTTTCTGATCTGCCAAGATGGGGTTGCATAGCTTCCTACCACCAGGCCTCCCATGCCACCACAGACTGAATCTCCTGAAACATAGCCCCCAATAAACCTTTCTTCTCTGAAGATGTATTATATCAGGTATTTGGTCACAACAACGAGAGAAGTAACTAACGCAAGATTTCTGTGTGCCTGAGGTCACATGGCCACAATAAAACTATTGAAACCTACATAAAACAGGCAGATTGAAAGTACTAGACTCAAGTCTGGTTGTTGATTAGATGTCTGGGTCATTTGACAAAAATGAGAAGGTTAGGTAGTGCAGTGGTTTGAATGGGAAATGTCTACTATTATAGGCTCATGTGTTCCCAGTTGGTGGGGTTGTTTGGAAAGCTTGTAGAACCCTGATGAAGTGGAGCCTTGGTGGAGAATGTACATCTCTAGGGGTGGACGTTATGGATTTATAGGCTCACTTTGCTTACTGTTCTCTCTCTCGCTCTGCTTCCTGTGTATGAGTGAAATGTGACCGGCCAGCTTCCTCCTCATGCCACCATGCTGTCCCTGAATGTTGCCATACTTTCTCCACCATGATGGACTCTCCATCTGGAATTGTTAAGCCAAAATAAAGCTTTTCTTTCCTAACTTACTTTTTGTTAGGATATTCTATCACAGCAACAGAAAGGTAATCAATACAGGTAGGATAAAAAAATCCAAGTTTCTACTACTTGAACAGTTTTCTTTTCTTTATTTTTTAAATTCAGGTTTGAAAAAAGATGGACATGGTGGTACACATCTGTAATCCCAGCACTCGGAAGGCTGAAGCAGATAACTGTGAGTTCAAAGTCAGCCTGCGTCACAAAGTTAAGTTCCAAGTCAGTCTAGGCTACATAGTGAGGGACTATCTCCAAAAAGAAATGTAAAAATCTATATGAATCTATAGGAAAGGAGAAAAACTGAATCCTAGAAATTGAATCACGATTTCAAGCCATTAAATTACAGGACCTGTGAAAATATCCAAGTCATGATGGAAACGCAAAACACTCTTCCTTAATGGTAAATTCTGATGTTCTTGTTTCTCTGCCCTTTGGGACCTTACTTCCTCCAAGGCTCTTCTTCCAGCCTGGGAAATAGCACTGCAACACAGAGAGAAGACTCTGTTAGCCCTGACCATCTGCCTGAGTTGAGAGGCTCACTCTGAAAAACAATATCGCCTCCAAAAGATGGCAATTTGACTTCAATGTGGTGCCACACACACATAATTCTAGCACTCGGGAGGATGAGGCCGATGGATGTTGAGTTCAAGGTCATCTTGGGGTACATAGTATTTCAAAAAAGTAATATGACTTCCTCAAGGCAGAAACTACCCCTTCTCTGTTTCCCCACCAGGACTTCCTTATAGAATACTGCAGGGTACTATTTAAGTGATGAAATAAAGATACAAAGTTAAAATATCAGATTTAGGAGCCTCAGTTACCTCATCTTGAAATTATAACCTTCCATTTTAATGCAATCACGTGGCACTGCACTCACAGAAAGAATCTAATAAACGATAGCTTGAAAACATAAGGCGTAAGGGGGCTGGCTGGGTTGGTAAAGCACTTACCTGCAAGTGTGAGGGGTCTGCATTTGATTCCTAGCACTTACATTCAAAGCTGAGCATGAGTGCAGGGGTCTGTAATCCCAGCACTGGCACTGGAGAAGCAGAGGCAGGAAGAAACTCTGGTACTCGCTGCCCAACCAGTCTAGCCTACTTGATGAGCTCCAGGCCAATGAGAGACCTTGACTAAGGTGGATCACATTCCTGAGGATGATGTCTGAGGTTGTCCTCCAGCTCCACATGCACATGCACACATGTGCACAGGCACCTGCATACACACAGACATAGGCACTCATACACAAGCACAGAAAGAAAATATATATTCTGGGATAAGTTTGAGTGTCTCATTTTAACATTAACGCCTATCTAGAAATCATTAATTCAAACTGCAACATTTGGGAACTTTAAAATATCAAAGATGAAGAGAAAGTAAAGATGATCTTTCCTTTGATGTTTCCATTGACCCACTTTTTCATATGTAGCCAGAATCCAGCTTTATTACAGATCACAGGACCTGGGACACATTGTTGCAATAATTTAATCTCAAGTAGGAATGACATTGTTAGCATAGTGTTC